GGGATTCATTTGCATGTATTATTTAGCCTGCAGTACAGAGTCCTTCAAAATTAGGCAAAGAGGTCAAAATCATTAGAGAAAAACAGAAATAAAACATCGTTAAACCCATGGAATGATTGTTATATCTTTTCAAGGCCTGACACTGATTTTTTGAGGAGGAAAAAAAGGGCACAAAGGTGCTATGAAATTACCTTGAAGTTACTAGCAGGGTATGAGTATAGATCTTATACAGGACAGTCTTCTCTCGATTTCTCTTTTGGTTTCCTTTTTCTTAGCCATATAATTCTTAATTTCATTCAAAACCACTAAGAAAGTTGTACTGTATTCTTTAGCCAAACACCAACTATTAATAAACAAATCGATCTAAACGTTTGAAGACTAAAGCATCTAATGCAAATGCTGGGTTTACAAAATAGTGCTGGTCGCTCCCGCATCTCGGAAGTAAGATCAGGAACATCTGGAACTCAGAATGTAAGATGGGGGTGTGTGTGTCTCTCTGTGTGTCTGTGTGTCTGTGATGATCTAAGAGGATTGCCTAGGCTGGCTCTGGAGCCCAACCAGCCTGGGATCATAGGCATGTACCACTTTAAACTAAAGTTTACACAAAACACAAATGCAAAGATCTTTTGTATGTAGTGAAAAGTCAATCCTTATTTGTACTAATTCATATTATATGGCATATTTTTTATTTCAAGCACATTGATATGACTTTTATTATATTATTTAGAACACTGCTTAAAGCACAATATTTTATATTAATTATTTCAACTCTATTCTCAATTACAAATCAAATCTCGAAATGCACAGAAGACTCCAGAGATACAGTTGTCATGAGTCCTCAGTCATGCTGGGCTGGGCTTTTTGGTGATATATCTATCTAAGATGTATCACACTTCGGTAAGTAACCCTTTAAAACCCATGTTCCTACTACAAGATGCTAGTAACCCTCCTACATCACCAAGATGGACCAAGGAAGGGTAGCTTCTTTGACCTACTGATGTCCTATCTGGAGTGGATAGGCATCTGTACATCTCCCCAGGAAAAGTTCCAGCTGTCAGAGCTGTGCTAAACAGCTCCAGATGTCCAGGACGCCTCCAGGGCAGAGCTATTCTGAGCAGCTCAGGTGTCCGGGATACCTCACCCTCCAGGGCTGAACTGTTTCCTTGCAGCTTCAGCTGTCAGAGCGGTCCTAAGCAGCTCAAGGGGTTGCCTGATGCCCCAGGTAGTCAGGACACTTTCCCCAGAGTTGCCGAAATCCGGGACCAAACCCACGGAGTTGCAACCAATTTTCTTACAGTAACTTGGTAATATTGCTCCATCAAAGCAATGAAGTATGTAACGAGTGCTTGTTTATACCTAAAAACTCTGTTTGACTTAAAATGCAGGTGGGTGTCCAGAGCTATGCAGGTAGTTCCTTCATCAATTACCACCCTCGAACATCAACTTACAAGGAGCTCGTGTGACCCCGGAGACTCTATAATGACAGCCATCCCCTTCCCCGAGTGCTACCCAGCCACGAGTTAGCAGAGCTAAAGTGCTCAGAGCAGGCTCCTGCCTCACAGCAGCAGCAGAGTCGGGAGCCCGCCTGCTTCTAAAAAGCATTTCAACTGTCCATCTATCTAACGACAGAGATAAGGGCACAGTGAGAGAATGTCTCACATCCTCATCTACACAGGCGCACCTTCCCAAGGAGGGCATCTCTCTGGCTTACCATGTAGTCACAAGGTGGCAGAACAGGTATAATATATAATGCCCCTAATTAAGACCAGAAATCCTGGCACAACGTAGTCTTGTCACAGACTCATTGGGAAATAGGATGTGACCACACGGGGGTGTCCTGAGATCCCTGATTGACAGATTCCTTAATGGTTATTTGTATAAGAGACCTTAATATGGTTTTACCTTTATCCCCCTCCCAAAGTTTCGGTATTTCCTCCCTTGCAGGTACAGTCTACAGTAGTCTGCTGTGACTATGACTTGTGTCACTAAAGATAATTATGAAAAGTGGTTAATGTTTCAAAGGACAGTAGCAACTTCCTGAAAAATCACAATGAAGTGGTAGTAGAGTTTGGGGAGAGCAAGTTTTAGTAAAAATGCCTTCATTTCCACGTTCTCAAAATGAGTTATCTAACAATAAGTAAATCATAGTAACCTACAGACACAGCACAAAGCAGTCGAGCCCACTGAACAGGAGTCTTGAGAAATATAGACAATTTCACAGACCAGAGGGTCCATGATGCCCTGAAGACTATTTACTACAAGGTGACACAGACCACTTCTACACATGATTTTATAAACTTAATGAAGAGAATTCAGACTTCCACAGATGGAATTTGAGTTTGGGCTTCAGGGGTTTGGTTTCTGCTTTGTCCTGGAGCCTGAACTTAGGGCCCTAGCTCTACTGCTGAGCTACACCTCAGCCCACACACGAACCCACAAGTGAACTTTTTTCATGTTTTTTGTTTTGTTTTGTTTTGTTTTATTCCTGAGAAGCACTGAGTAAGCTGTAAGGAAAACCGAACCAGACCGTCTGTCTGAAGATACTGGAGAACCACTAAGTCCACAGAACTACGTTAAAGGCCCAAAAGTTAAAGGGAGAGCAGCCACGACCCATATGTGGCGCTCCTTCCTAAGGACCCCCGCTATGCAGAAAGCAGGGCAGCTGGGATACCCAATCGGGCTCTGGATACACAGAATGATGGGTAGTGAGGCCCACACAACTTAGGGGAGAGGCTGGGAGTTCAGTCTCGATGAAGCTGATGGGGTGGGTGGGGGTGGGGGGAACTGCTTCCATGAGCTCATGGGTAGCTCTGAGAGCTTTGCCCTAAGAGATGGGGGTAAACTGGAGATAGACCCACCCTAAGAAAGGGCCTGAAGACTGGATTTCAGTCATTTCCAATTCTGCCTGGATTTAAACCATCTGCTCCCGACCCAAACGCCTACAAGAAACAAAGTTAAGTGCTCTGAAAAATGCAAGATTGCCCAAAGTTTAAAATTATCTTTGTACTACCGCACATGTACTATATGGCTCTTAAGAAGTAAACAACTATAAGGATCAAGAACTGACCAAAAGCCAACAGAAAAGCAATATACCCAAGGACCCAGAAGACAGGAGATGCAGCCCTGGATAAGTCAAGCCTTGGGAATGTAAAGCACTGTGGCTATTTTGGTCAAAAATATACATATTAATGTGCAGAATGTGGGCAAGGAACTAGAAACCAAATGAATAAATAAAACCATTGAAAAAGAAACAGTAAGTAGAATTGGCACAAATAAGTAACAATGGTAAAAATCTCCAGTTGTTTGAAAATGAAGCAATATACTCTTTGATTTCTCAGAGAGGCAGGAAAGGATTTGGAGCACATGATAGTAAAGATTCAAAATTCAAAACCTATAGAATGTAAGCAAAAGTCGTAGGTATTACGTGACTTAGAGCCTTAATGCAAATATCTGGAAGCAAGAATGGTTAAAACTTTGGTGATATCCACCAAAAAACAGGAGGTGGGTTTGTTTGTTTAGAGGCAGAATGCTAGACAAGTACTCGACCAACTAAGCCAGCCCGACTAAAAGTTATGTTCATTTTTTGACATACCAATTCCCCTCTTGTATCAAAAACGTGTACATGCAGCCAAGCAGCGGCCGTGACACACGTCTTTGATCTCAGCACTCATGAGGCAGAGGCAGGCAGATCTCGGTGAGTTCGAGGCCAGCCTGGTCTACAAAGTGAGTTCCAGAACAGTCAGCGCTGTTACACAGAGAAACCCTGTCTTGACAGACAAAAACAAAAATGTGTACCTGTATGCACCAAAAATATGTGTGATGTATACATAAAGACAGTTATTAATGATCAGGAAGTGGAGCAAACGGACACACGTCAGTGGTAGAACAGAGAAATGTGTCTGCTTAAGCAGTAGCTATTTAGCTTTAAAAGTGAATGTGGATGAATCCTGAAATAATGCTGGAAAAAAGATGCCAGGGAACCACATACATGGGAAGCGTTCCGGTTTTACAGAGCTAATGAAAGCGTTAGACTCAGGGCTGGCGAGGTGAGCATTGCTTCCAGCGGAGAACGGCGAAGAGAGAAAATACGAGAGGGTGCATTGGAGGCGTCTGTGGTTAGGATGATAACCTGCTTCATGACCACGGTCATTAGTACATACGATGCAACTTGCTCATGAACAGCCCATGGGATCCCCCAGTCAGGAGAAACAAGATCGGTATTTGGTCAAAATAATTAGAGCAATGATCAGGAAATAATCCTTTCTGAGAAGGAAGGACAGACAGATAAGGCGGTGGAAGCTGCAGATGCCCTTTATACCAGGGCGTCCGATGAAAGAGCACAATGTCTTGGAAGACAAAGAGGGAAAGTAAATTATCAGGATGCAGATTTCCTTTGCATATACTAAGTGCTAATAAGAAAAGCCAACAAGCCGGGTGGTGGTGGCGCACGCCTTTAATCCCAGCACTCGGGAAAGCAGAACCAGGCAGATCTCTGTGAGTTCGAGGCCAGCCTGGTCTACAAATTGAGATCCAGGACAGGCACTAAAACTATACAGAGAAACCCTGTCTCAAAAAAACAAAAACAAACAAAAAAGAAAGGAAGGAAGGAAGGAAGGAAGGAAGGAAAGAAGGAAGGAAGGAAGGAAGGAAGGAAGGAAGGAAGGAAGGAAGGAAGGAAGGAAGGAAGGAAGGAAAAGAAAAGCCAACAATTGCAACAAAGGTAATCCCAGTCTAGGGCCACGCTACCTGAAGGTACCCGATCTCATTTGATCTCTGAAGCTAGCTAAGCAGGGTCAGGCCCTGTTAGTACTTGGATGGGAGACAAAAACAATCCCAACCATCCTTCAAACAAAGGAGAAAGACCATCCAGCAGGGTGGAGTGGAGAAGTTTCCTAACCCTAACCCTTCAGAGGCAGAGAGGGGAGGCGAGCACCCATGCTTCCTCCACAGCCTGAGCTGCGCGTCTGTTCAATGAAGAATCACAATGAAAACAATCTTACCCTTAATCGTGTGGTGGAGATCTCAGCTTTTAAAATATCAGGATCATATTTAGTGCTAGATGAAGACCCTGAGAAGACTTTTAAGAGAGAAAAAAAATATTACTTATCAGCTGCAATAATTGTAAGCTTGGAATTTACTCATTTTAAAAGTAAGGTTTATGGGCAGGCTCCGGTATTCCAGGCCAGCCCTTTATCCCAGTTAGATGGGAGGGTGAAGGAGAAAGATTGCAAAATCAAGTGTTCCTGGGCTAAAGGACACGCTGAAGGACAGCTTAAACAACTTAGTGAGATCCTGTCTCAAAATAAAAAGAGGTTTGGAGATAAAGTTCAGTGGTCCAGCACATGCCTAGCATGCAACAAGGCCCTTTCTGGTCCCTGTAACACACCAACACACACAGAGCCAAGATTTATGTTCTTTTGAAAAAACTGCTTTTGTTTTTTCTTTTAGGAGATAGGTTCTCACACTTATTTCAAGCCTATTTCATTTTTTGAAACAGGGTCTTCCTATGCAGCCTCACAGTTGCAGGGATTCTCCTGCCTCAGCCTTCCAAGCGCAAGAATTACAGGCATGAACAACCAGATATGATTCTCAAAGCCTTTGTCATATTAAAACAAAATAAAACAAAACCTCAGGATACAAAATACTGAAAGAAACTTGTCCTGGGTCCTTCAAGAGTTCTGCTGTGCGGCTCCTTAGGGGATTATGACTTAAAATGTTCTGAGACCGGCATAGCTGCTTCTTTAAATAAGGCCAGCCCCAGATGACCGACACACAAGTAGAGATGGAGGGGCTTGAGATCCAACAGTCTCAGTTCCTCCCTAGGAACAGCAGTGGGCAGAAGTCACCTTTAAAAGGCTCACATTGGGGCTGCAGAGTGCTTGCTGCTCTTCCCGAGGACCTGAGTTCAGTTCCGAGCACCCACATTGGGGCAGCGCACAATTCTGTGGCTCTAGCTCTTGGGGATCAGATGCCTCTGGCCTCCTTTCCTTGTTCTGACAGAGATTTACTCAAACAAAAGGCAGCCAGGCATAAGTAACTGGAGAAACAGAAGCCCGATGCCCAGATGGGGAGACTTGTATCTCAAGAGGGGATGGGGTATTTCTCTGAGTAATCTCTTGGGAACCCCTCCTCTCTCGTGGCTTGGAGGAGTTCTTGCCTGGGAGGGAAAGGGGCTCAGAATGTAACTCCACAGAAGTGTGAGTGACCTTCACCTCTCTACAATCTCATCTTCAATTCTAGAGTGTGACCAGCCACGCAGTACTCACGGCTTGTGCGAGAACTTGACTTTTCCTTGTAGGCGTCATTTAAGCGGACATACTCATCGAGGGCCAGGGCCAGCCTCTGTTCCTTCACGTGGTACAGCTCCTTCTGTGTCCTGAGTGCATCCTGGGCCACGGAGAGATAGTCCTTGAGCATCCTCTCCTGCTCACCCCGCCACTGTTTTCTCGGATCTTCAATCTGTGTGGTTTCTGAAAAGACAGTAGGTGGGAATCTGTGTTGGGATTTAATTATGTTTGTGGGATTATTCATTGAGGGATTAGCTAGTTTAAATTCTTGTATCCTCTAAAGCATCTACCAGAAACTTCTATAGCGTGACTTGTCTAAAATCTGGATATGGGGTTATTCTATTTACTCCAAAATCAGCCCGGGCCCTTTCTTGGCAGACGTTGATAGCAATGTATCCTAATTATAAGCCTGTCACACACATGTCATCCATCGATCATCCTTTTGAGAACTCTCGGGCTCCCCAATACCCAGGAAACAAGAGTTACATCACCATCAGCATCCAGGGCCATGGATACTCGGATCCAAATGGACTTCTGAAGGGCCACACTTCCACTGACTTAACACAGGACTCCTGCCCTCTTACCTGGTACATCAGCACTACTCATTGCCTAGTCCATGGACCATCACCAGCCTCAGAGTCACTTCATACCCACAGCAATAAAGATGAAAATCAAGAGAACATTTAAGTCTTCATAGCAATTTTATTCAGTTATTATATATCTGTTGAATCTATAAATATTGGAGCTTATGTTTCTTTATGGTCATTTCATTTTTCTATGAATTCATTTTTATTTTAAAAAAATATCAATCACTCTGTGGTAGATTAGAAAATTTAAAACAATTAAAAACCAAAGCCACCTTGCTCTTGCTCTAAGGAGAAAGTCCCTTAGTGACTGTGAAAGTCTCCAAACCAATTATAACCTCTGCTCAGAAGACGGGCCCTGGGACTGCTCTCCCTAACCATTTTAATTTATAATAAACGCATTGGCCACATACTGGAGCAGGGAGCTGCCATGTACTGGTGTCTGTCTTGGGGTAAATGGCGGTTACAAGGCCAAGTGCAGGGGTTGTGAATCTACAAGGATGCCAATACAGTTGGCTGCGAGATGTTTGTACTGACAAGTCACAGAAGAATACACACTTTTAGCCAGAGAGTAGGTGAAGAGGCAACTTACTTACTCAGGAGCTATGAGACTACGGACTGGCGGAAATACCTGCATACAAATATTCATTAGCAGCATTATTCACAATACACAAATATTTAAATCTTGGTATATCCATACAATAAATACTACTTGGAAAGAAAAAAGAAAAAGAGAGAGAGACAATATGCAGGTTTGTATCAGAGCCCAGACAATAGTTATTTATATGAAATCCTGGTCAAGGGCAAATCAAACCCAATGGCAGAAAAGTGACCAATGGCTGCCTGCAAAGAACTAGCATGGAGCTAATGTCCTTTTCGAGGGGACAGAAACATTCCATAGCTTGGTTATTACAAAGGTTATGTGATATATACCTGTCAAAGCTTATGAGCTGTATACTGAGAATAGATGCAACTCATTCATTGTATGTTACACCTTAATAAAACTGGCTTAAGGGTTTATGAGTGTAGCTCACTGATAGAGTGCCTAACACATACACACACACACACACACACACACACACACACACACACACACACACTCCCTCCTCCCCCAAGTAGTGCAAAAGAAAAAGCTACCTTTAATAAACAAAATTTAAAGTTGATTACATATACTTTTAAAACTCAGAGAAATGACTACTACATTAAGGAGATGTTGGGCTGGAAAAATGGTTCAGTGGTTTAAAACACTTGTTGCACTTGCAGAGGACCTGGGTTCAATTCCCAGCACCCACATGGTAGCTCACAATCATCTGTAGCTCCAGTTCTGGGGGATCTGATGCCCTCTTTTGATCTGGGCACCGGGCACGTACATGGTGCACATGCACACACATATACACACGGTGCACTGTAGCAGGGGGCTATAGGAGCCCCGCCCAGAAGCCCCGTCCCCAGTGAGGCAGCTGTAACTGATACACCTGCCTATGACCTTGAGGTACGTGCCCCGGGGCGTGGCCAAGGGACTCTTAAAACCCGGGATGCACGAACTCATTCCTTTCTTTGCTACCTCGTGGTTTGGGATGCTGGAACGGACCAGGGCAGATCTCACCAGAAAATAGCCTCACCCTTCCAAGATCCCACGACAAATTCCTTTATTCTGTCTTGTGAATTAACCCCAGATAAACTCCTTTGTTCATTAAATAGACTCCGTGGATTGCTGGCCATACAATACCATTAGTGCACAGGCACAGACACACAGACACACAGACACAGACACACAGACACAGACACACAGACACACACACACACACACAGGCAAACATTCATGCATGAAATAAATTTTAAAACTTTAAGAGAGAACTGAGGAGGTCTATGTTGGCCCATGGAACTGACTTTTCAGAGGCCAGACTGTCCTGGAAATGTGTGACCTGACCTCCGGGTATAAGGCATGATATTAAACTGACAGTTTGGCCCGGGAAGGCTGGGTCCTCTTGGGGCTAAGAGAGGCCCTGGGTGATTCACAAAATGGTCTAGTTCAGTAAAACACTAACCACTGACTCAGACCTATAGTTCTGGCTTCATATTCACTGACTACTAAAAGCTGAGCTTTCTCCAAAGCACCATTTTTGAAATACTCATTTTAAAGATATAAATATTTAAATACACAAAAGATAAACATCTCATGTAATTATTGGGAATAAACACATGCTACAGCCACTGTCTGCACAGGAGCTGTCCTGAATGGGCAGACCTTCCACATCGGAATCTTCAAGGGCAAAACAGCATGGCGCCGCCCTCTAGGGAATATGGAAGATGTGCAGAGATCACCGAGTAAGGGCCTAAAATGCTCAGTTGTCTATTTATATATTCACTGTAACACGGGCCTTTAATATTCTAATAGTGCTCAGATTAATTTCCAGTATTCATACACATATGACTGTACTCTGGCTCAAAGGACAGAAACTGTCACATGACAAATAGGAAATTATGGTCCTCAAGTTTTCTCGGGCTGGAGAGGACAGCACTTCTGGATTGGGCGGCACTGTCCTCTCTCTACCTCCACCCTTAGCTGCCGTGGCGTGAGGTGCCCAGCGGAGAAGCTCACCCTGATGGTGAGGAGGCCTGTGGAGAAGCTCACCCTGGCGGTGAGGAGGCCTGTGGCCAGCCACACAGAGGCACACTACCAAGAACCACAGGCCGAGTTTGAGCCGTCTTCTCGAGCAGAGCGCAGGATGACTGCAGCCTGGCATCCTGGCTACGAGTTTATTATAGAAACCGTAGCCAGGACAGCTAAGCCTCACCTGCTTCAAGGCCCACAGAAATTGTAAGACAACAAACACTAGTAATTTGTCACGCTGAGATATGTAACTATTAAACCAATCAAGTAAAGAGATGCAAACACATGGATGTTTTTAGTTAGAATAGTAAGCAGGCATCCCTCAGGTTCAGCTAGGCATATTTGTCCCCATGTTTGGGAATTGGTGTACTTAAATAAATATTTGTCAACAGCTAAAAGGCCATGAAATCCTGCTACAACATTAACACTCAGATTAATGAATTAAAACAACATGAAAGATGGTAACGAACTCTTAGTACTTTGTGCGATAATAATAAATGTGTCTTGGATGAGTCTGAAGAAACCCCCGAGTAGACTGGTTTGGATTTGTTTACAAGAGAGGCAGGAAACATTTATATTTCTGAAATATTGCACAATTCAAATATAAACCACAAAGAGAACTCCCAAAGGCATCTTCGAAGGTTTCATAAAGCAGGACTAGGCTCATCTCCATCTGTTATATTTGCTGAATAGATTTGAAAAGAATATTTATTAAATGTAAACATGCAAGAAGAGTGTTTTACAAATGTGGTATTTTTTTTTTATTAAGACCTTCTGGCCTTGGGAGATCACTATATCATAATGCAATGTAATTTGCATGCTGTCTGCTATATTAAAGAAGTAATATATTACATGCTTTAAAACATTACATATCTCAAGAGAATTCACATCCCATTAGTTTCATAGATGTGGGACTTTACAGATAGGGAACACAAAAGCTTAGCATGGACAACATTATACTTCGGAGACTTGTGTTTCTGTCTATAACGCAGATTTCTGTTTTTCCTGCTGTGCTCGAAAGAATGAATGAAATAAATATGTACAACTTTTCTTGTCTTCCTTTTTTATAAAGTATCTGCAAAATTTATTTGTTGCCTATTTCTTCCATGTACAATTATTAAGCCCCAATTGGATGCATTAGACAAAATAAGATGTTGGAGGAAATCATTATGCACAAAGTAAACAAACAAACAAACAAAAAAATCCAACAAATTTATACCAGAATGAGATACCGTCTTTAGAGAAGGATGGGGAAGTATATAGCAATTTAGAGAGTGCAGGGTTTCTTCTGGTTGAAAAGGTATGATGCCAGCGAATCCAGCTGCAGTTAAACAGGATACCAAAGAGTCCCAGGCAAGCGCACTTCTCCAGTCAGGACTCCCACGGCCCCGACACAGAGTTTCCTGCATTCTTTCACCAGGCTGCATTCTCCAGCCAGCTGAAGACCTTGGCTCTACCTGTGGTCTTCCTTCTTCCCTCCCCGAAACTCCGCCACAGGCTACCCTTCTCCAGTGAAGTCGGCCAAGCCTTGAGGATCAGCTAGCGCTCTCGACAGGCAGCATGGGTACGCTGCAGGAGGGAGGCACTCCCTCCTGGCCCCCCTGCTCTCTGTGCAATGGCAATCCTTCTCAGGCCAAGTGGGAGACTCACCTCGGAAGCCACGGAGGAGTCTACGCAAACGCACGCAAGGATCTTAACTCTATTTTAGAAGACCACCTGGCAGAAACGTGAGGCTCCACTGCCGGAGGGGTCGATATGGCAGCCTGGGAACCTTTTGTAATGAAATTTACACACCAACTGAAAGAAAGAAATTCAGGGAACACCACAGCTGTACTGGAAAGCATAACGGAATTTGAAAACTCCAAGTATGAGTATGTTTGTGCCCTGACCGGAAGAGGGTTGAGAAGATGTACAGCCGAGAATCAGAAAATTAGTTAACGTTAGCTCTTGTAACGTGAATTTCTTTTATCTCCATTCCTATTTGT